TTTTAATATTTTTAGGGCTAGTAAAATAAGTATATATTTTAATAACGGCGAGCCCGTAAAATTATTAAAATTTATAATTATTAATACCCTATTTAATAATATTACTTTTTATATATTATTAACTAATACTCCTTTTTTATATTATTTAAGGGATATAAATAAGCTAGGAATATACTTTAATAACGTTAATAATTTACTAATTAAAAAAGACGTTATAATATTTATTGTTTATAAATAGGGATACCCTTAGCTTTTATTTTTTAATAATAAAAAAGTTATTATTAATTATTTAATAAAAAGCGAGCTACGCCGCTTATATTAATATTTTAATTACCCCTTAGTTCCTCGCTTCTTAAAGTTATTTTAATAATTTAATAATAATATAGAATTTATTACCCTTAAAAAGCTTATAAAAATTTATTAATAATACTAACTAAACGTAACTACCCCTAATTAATTTAAATTCACTTTACGAAATAATTATAATTTTAATTATAAAATTATAATTAACGTAATATATTTATTAAATTATAATAATACGAACTAACTAGTACTTTACGTTATTAATATTACTACTTCTTTTTAATTAGTAAGATTCTTTATAAATATAATTATAAAGTATATATAAAAAGCTCTTTAACTTTATTAAATCGACGTTTACTTCGGTTTATTAAATTAAATTATTATAAATATTAATAAGAACTTTAATATTATAAAATTTAAATCTTTTACCTAATTTATATTTATTAAAATTAAAAAAGTACCCGTTAAAGCCTATAATAATATTAATAAAGCTAAGAAATACTATATAATATTTAAAAAAGTATATAATATTATTTATAATAACTACTTATTAATAAATATAAAAATTATACTTTAAGCCATAATTAAAACTATTAATAATATTATTAATTTTAATAACCTCGTTTTTATATTCCTCGTTTTTAAAACGTTTTTATATATTTTTAATAAATCTTTATTATTGCTAAATATTATTTAATATATAAAAAGAATTAAAAAAATAATAAAAGAAGTTTATAAATTTTATATTAATAAATAAGTAAATAAGGCCCTAGCTACTTAAAATAAACTAAATATCTTTTATATTATTAATTTATTATTATAATTAAATATTAAAATTTAATAAAAAAATAAGGAATAAAAAAGCTTATTTAAGCTTATTTTAATAAGTAGTACTATTTATGTAATAAAATTATTTTATAGTTTAATAAGTTTTTAGGCTATTATAATTAAACCTTAGTACTTAAAAAAAGCTAACCCCGAGCTATTAATTATAATAATAAAATACGTTAAGCGCTTATTAATCCCTATAGCTAACTAACTAATTAATAGCGGTTTTTTTATTAATAAAATCCTTAATAAAATTATTATAATAATTAATAATAACCCTTTATTATGTTAAAACGAGAAGAATAAAAAAATATTAATACGGCGTAGTTATAATAATATTTTTATAACCTAGGCCTATTTTATATTTAAAAAAAAAATAAACCTTAAATTAGTTACTAAACTCTATAATAAGGGTATTATTATTACCTTAAGAGCCCCTTTTAAAAAATCTATTAATAAAGAGCTTTTAGGCCTTATTAAGTAAAGAGTAATTAAATTTATTTAACTCGGCCCTAAGTATAATAATATAAAAATATTTAAATCCCGATTCGTTAATAAAATTAAAAACCTAAGCTTTAATCTTATTAAAAAGTCTTATTTAGTTATATAAAAATATAATAATAAAAAAAAAAAGGAGATCCTTATATAGTTATTAATAATTTAAAAAACTAGTTAATAACTAATTCTCGTATTAACCCTAACCCTATTTTAAAATAGTTATATTATTTAGTTATAAAATATTATTTAAATATATACTTAATCGAATTAACCCCTTTATTATAAAGTTTTTACTTAATTACTAGCTCGGATCTATTATTTATACCTTAAAAATACGGTTTTATATATTATATAGTTATTATATAGCCTCGTAGAATTTAATACTTATTAATAAATAATATATAATAAGTATTATTTAAAAATACTCTAAATAATAATATTTACTTTCGACTTATACTTATTAATCTTAACGTAAAAAAGTAAATTATTTAATATTATTAAAATATAAATTAATAATATAATTAGTTTATTAAATAAGACCTTTTACTAAAAAAAAAAGACTAAGCTTAAGTATACTAAACTACTAACTAAACTAAAATAATATTTCTTAGCTAATAAACTACTTATTTTTAATAATAAAATCGTCTTATTAAAGGGTAGTAATATAGTACTTAAATAAAAAAACTAAAAAAAAAACTAAAATAAGTTAATTACTCGGTACTAAATATAAAATAATAATTTATTAAGTAGCGAGCTCGAGGTATTTATATCGTATTAATCTATTAATTAAAAATAGCTTTTAATACGTTATTTACTACTTAGTATTAAATAGATCTATTATTTACTAATTATATTACCCTAAACCGATATATTAAATAATAAATAAATTATTTAAACCAAGGCCTTATATTTATATTATTAAACTTAACTATAACTAAACTCTTCGTTTTTATAAATAGGTTATTTATAAATAATATTAATTATACTTTATAACTAAGTTATATTATTATTTTTATAAATAAAAAATAGACTAATAAAAACTTTATAATTCGTAATAATATTATTTATTATAGCTCTACGAAAAGTAAAAAGATTACTCGGAGCGTATTAATATTAGAAGTTTATGAAATAGTTATAAGCGTTAATATTGCTTATACTATTTTAATTATATTAGACCTTATTATTAAATAACTTAACGTTCTAAAGACCTTTATTATAGTCTATATAAACTCGTACTTATTATACAAATACTTTATTAAACTAGGTATTATAAAAAAAAAGTACTTTATAATTAATATTATAATACTTTAATAGTTATATAAACGATACGAGTTTTATAAAATTTACTAAATTAATAATAATAATAACCTAACTAATGGGTTTATAAAAAGTATATTAAATAAGTCCCTCGAATAGTTTATTAATAAAAGAACTATTATAATTAAAATAAAAAAATAAGTAATACGTAATTAAAATAGTAATATATTATAAATAATAAGTTATTTAGTAAACGTATATATTTTTTAAGTTTTAGTTTAAAAAAATATATATATATTCAGGGCGTAATTAGACTAATAAAAAACTCTTTTTTAACTACGTTAAATTCGTTAATTTCCGAGGAGTTTAAATAATTAAATTATATAAATTAAAAAATTATAAAATAATTAAGAGGATAGAATATTAAAAATTTTATATATATTTTATAATAAAAGCTATATTAAAATTTTAGTATATAGTTTTTAACCTTTTTAAATAAAAGATTTATAATAAATTTTATAACTATATTACCGGCTTAAGAATTAGCCCCTATTTTACCTTTTTTTATTATAAAAATAAAAAATTATTAATATTAAATTACGAAAATAAAAAAAATAAATTTAAATAAGTAAATAAATAAGTAGTTAAATAAGTAGTCGAGGCCCGTATTAATAAACCTTTTTATTTATTTATATTTATAAAAAAATCGCGAGCTCTATTTACGAACTTCCTCCCTTTTATATACTTAATAAATAATTCATTATTATTAACCTCGTTATAACTAAAAGGTCTAACCTGCTTTACGTATATACTAATAACCTCGCTTTGGGTTTTATAATATGCTATGACGAGGGTACTAGGATAGATCATGTGCCCATGCTCTTTAAGAACGCGGTCCGCCATCGAAGTCGTCATCAGCATCATAACGAATGCATTAAGACCGTTTTTGAAGCTGTTGGTCCATATGGTAATCTTGTTGGCAATTACTTGGCGGAGATAAAGCGCAGCTTTCTGACGATATATTAATTGATCGTCATTCAATCTTGCCCACATGTCTTTGTACAAATTACTTAGATCGATAGGCAAGCTCCGTATTCTTTGTTCTATTTCATCCGAGTCGTTTTCATGGTCTAAGCCTCGATTCAAACTTTTAATGGCGAGGCAGAGCCAGAGAAAAACGCCTTCAGCCTTTTCGACAAGTACGTTTACTGGGTCCACTGAATGTCCCCAGGAGTTGCACATCTTGAATCCAGGAGGGAAGTTGGTGTGGTTCTCAGCGTACGTTCGTAGATCCTGATTAGTGAGGTCTTGCAAGCGGATGAATGGATAGCGGCCGTGACCCAGGTGCTTCTCGATGAGATACTCAGGTCGACTTGAGACGCAGACTTTGACGTTTGGAATGGCGCTGAAGTCGTGTAGGGCCTCTATGAGCCGCACTACGCCATCATCGGGACTCACTTCATCTAGACCATCTAGAAACAAGCAAATGGGCCTACGGTATTGTCCGATTGTGTTGAGGCATAGACTTTGAAGTTCCTTGGTAGACCAGTCTGTGTCGGAATCCTTCTCTCCAGCTGATGAACAAGCAAACATAGACCTGTCGAGAACAGACGGGTCTTTTGCCAGAAGCTGGTGCAGCAACGAACAGAACATGCCTCTGAGACTCTGTTGCATCAGGCTTCCCGGCCGCCAGAAGAAGTGCGGAACTAAAAGCGCGCCAGGGCTCCATACATCCAGTGCGCTTCTAGTTCGCGGATCAGATATGATGTATCTCATCAATGTGGACTTTCCAGAGCCGGGCTTGCCGCTGCACCAGAAGATCTTGCTACCGGACTTCAGCCAGTCTATGAAGGAATCCCAACGGATTCCGTCATCTTGGTCTGTAGCACTGTCCTTCTCGGCTGAGTCGTCTGTCCAGTCGGAGCTTTCGCTTTCTGTATCTGTCCACATTGAATCGTTGTCCGGATCTTCGAGTATTCCCATGTCATCTGCGAAAATCCACTGAAAGGTACCTTCACATGACTCGCTGATTTGGTTCCGCCGCTCGTTCATCCTCGGGAATTTAAAGCTTGCAAGGAAACGTTGGCGTTCAGCCTCTCGGTCTCTGTCAAGGCTCAAAGCTGCCATTCCAGCTGAGATTTGCTGATTAGATTTCTGTATGGTTCTATCAAGTTGCGCAGACTGCTGATCTACCATTGATCGAATCTGATCTGTGGCCTTTTGTGATTCACAGGTGACGTGGTTGCGTGTCCTGAACATCTCCATGGATATCAGGTCGGACGTGTCTCTGTGACCTTGTTGATATTGCCCTAGGAAGTGTTGCAGGTTGGTGTCAAGTGACTTCAAATCAAGGTGCATGGCATCGGCCTTCTGGCTACGTGGAAGCAATATGCGTTAGTTGAGAATGGGACCTATAGGGAATGCAAGCTCCATAAACTTACCAGATCCGTGCTAGAAGGCCGCACTGCATCAGCCTCTCTGCATCGTTCAACTTCCTCTCCATGGTGTCAAGCCGTCTCTTTCGCCAGTTCGCCTTCGCAGCCACTTTGATTGTCGAAGCAAGGCTCCCCTTCTTTTTGTGGCCGACAATGAACGCGATCTCCTCCGTCAAGTCTCGCGCAACAGCCTGGCACTTTTTGGCGATCTCGAGCAACTGGTGCTCTTGCTTGGTCGGCTTCTTTGGAACTTCAAGAGTCTGGACGTGTGATGCTAGTTGAGCGAGATCCTTGGCGTTCGCCTCGAGGACATCATCGATGGTGCCATCTCGATATATACGCTTGACCAGGCTGGCAGTCTCGCGGCCGAAGCTGATGATTTGAAAGATATTGCATGCCAGGCCTAGAGCCTCGAGACCTGACATGTCGGCGTTGCTCAGGCCGTGTTTCCCTGAGTCAGAGAACTGGACAGACCTGGATAGTGGTGAATTGTGTGAAATCTAGCCGAGTTTCGGGATACTCGGATGAAGTAGTGAGGATGGCGGAGAAACAGGGAGAAGTAGAGAACGATAGACGTGGTGAGGCCAAAAAAGACGGCAGACAACTCAACTTTGGAAATAGAAGAGGGGTAGAATCTGCCCTGTCGCTCAGCCTGCATGAGGCAGCCACACTCAGCGGCTGCGCATCACCAGATTGGACACAGCCTGATTTGAGGCAGCGAATTACGAACTCGGGTTCGCCCCATGCAGATTGCCCGATATCAAAGATAAGGCGCATCTACTTCAAGGGTTTGGCATTACGCGACAGCCCTACGATCCATGTACATGCCGTCATTCTGTAAAACACATTGTTTGCCGTCCTCGTTTCTGCGACCGTGGGCTAGAGAGACCTACATGATGAAGTTATTTACTATCAAGCTACAAGTCGAGACTTATAGTAAGGTACCTGGCTGTGATGTAATATAGCATCAGGTTGGAACCAGTTGCTAAATATTGCTGGTTGCCATGCTCGCATATGAGATCCCGGCCCTTCACAAAGACGCTCAGCTGGGTGACGGGTCAAGCACCTAGTCTTCCAGCCTAGGTCTCATTTATAGAGCATTTAAGTGCGGTACCGGGCTCGTGGTACGTGTCTTCAGACCCAAAGGCGTTATTACACACAGGATTTGGAGATGAAAGTTACTTGCTAACCCTCAAGGCGTGTCAAAACAACGTATCTGAGAAGGTGGAGATTGGTCCGAGGTCACATTAGACAAGCAAAGACAAGATTGCTGGATCGACAATGACCATGCCCAATAGTCAAGAAACGTATCAAGGAGTTGATGAGCTGAAACAACAGTCACGAAGAGACAGCTCAGGGGTCGCTACAGGTGAGAATTGCCTGGTGTTTTGGAGTTGCAAGAATTCTGTTATTCTCAACAACCTCATATATTCCTTCTTTTATGTCATATGTCTGAATGTTTTATGAGCAGGCTTGAAATTGCCATGACGCCTTCAATCACACTGCATTGAAACTATTTGTATCTCACCATATCCCACCCCGGTAGGATAGCTCAAAGCCATTCACGACGATGAAGGCCCCAAGTCAGAGAACAACAAAGAGCATCTATTGCACGAGACCGGGAGGAGTCACAGCGTCTCTCAGCATGATCGAGGTTCCCATATTGTTTGTCAAGGTTACTCAGATTGCTGCTATTGAATCGCATCAACTTGTGATACTAGAAACTATACACTAGGCACAGTCGCTGATATACGTTGAAGATTCAAAACGTCGCGTCAATGTCAAGTTCATAATCATTCAAACCTAATCCATGAGAATCAAATGATTTCGAATTTCAACGCAACCAAGGCGGAGGGGAAGACATAAAGTTGTAAACTTTGCCCATCATGCAATTTCACCGAGTCCCCAGTCACATCAATCAACCCATCAAGATTCAACATCACCAGCCAAATCACCATAAACACACCACCTCATCCCCGTTGTCATCTTCGCCCGAACCAAAAATGGCTGATGCCAAGACCCCTCCAAGCCCTTGCATCTTTCGCCACTTTTAACCGACGACTACCGGCAGGAAAACGGGGGGCCGGGGACGGACCCGGACCAGAGTGTTAGGCAAACACGACATGGTAAAGTAGTTAGACCAAAAAGCGCCACCCGGCCAGGAAAAAAAAACTGCAGCTGAGCCGATTCAAAAAGTCGAGCTTACCATTGGCATCGTCAATGAGCTGCAGTGTCACTAAGAGAGCTCAAGTTGGGGTCGCACCATAGTGTCACGAGATCGAGAGAATGCATACAGATCACAGAGTAATTAGGGTTAGTTCGATTGGCGACACCTCTGATCTTCACAGCTCTGCGACAAGTAGATTGAAAAACACTGGACCATTCTAAGTATTGATTGGGAATTGATTTACAGAAAATTGGTTAATTCTAGCTCTTCAGAGCGGCGGGAAAGACTCTGCACCGGACACTAACAGACACCAACCCCGCAATCGAGAATCGACCACGACAGAAGCGTGTTGCTAGTCCTACGGCCAGACAAAGGGTGCCTCTGTAGTGTCAAACCCTCGTTTGGGACTTGGAAGTCGGCGCACACTCGCGCGTGACCTAATTCTTTGTGAAGAATGCTTATGCTGGCGAGGCTGTGTACGAAGGAGAAAAGCCCCGGTCCAACCACTTGGTTTGCCCACCGTGCCCGCCTGTCGCCTGTGATACCTGAGAAATTCCAATTGAGGGACTATGCAGCCTTTGAGTGTCTAGAGTCTTTTTGCGACTCTAAGGAGAAAGCACGGCCATTGGGGGGTGGCAGAGGAATCGGGTGGCTGATCTTCGACCTGTGCGCTTCTAGCTGGCAGGTGACAAGCCACGAGGGGATTCGATTGGCTTGATCCTTCAATAGCTCTCTTCTTTTGCTACTGAGCACCTCGACTTGGCGCGCTGCGGCGCTTTTATGGCGGCTACCCCAGATCTGCATTGTCTCAATGATCGAACCAGTCATCATGACAAAAAGAACCTCAACCCCGCGAGCAGAGAGACCCTGAATTTGCAAGATGGTTGGGATTGGCGGAAGGCAAAGGCTAGATACCGCAGCGGCACTCGGATGGAGGGTAACGTAGCGGTGCGGCACTGCGGAAGGCCAACGGAGCCGGCCGCCGGTCGAGATCAGTCCATGGCGAAGGTGTTAGTCAACAGCTTCCATTAGTCGGCGGGTTGGTGACAGGTCAGTGACGACGACAAGTTCCGAGGTTCGATGGCGGCGGTGCCGGACAAGGGTCGAGCTTGGACCTGGCCACAGCTGCACCTGACTACCACGCTAGAATCCGGTGGTTTGGATCCATCTACACTACCTATCGATCGTTAGCTTTGGCAGCCAAGAGGACGGGCATTTGGAATGGGAGGAGAGACAACGATCGTGCGTGCACGGCGCCAGAATCATCGGCCAACACCAAAGACGCGGATTGGCGTTGCCACTCAAGGGCCCTACGACTCACGTGTACCGAGAACTCGGGATGGGCTGGGGATGGCCTGGTTGCTGGGATGGACGTGCAGCGTACCGCAGCCTGTGCTTTTCCTGTGTTCATGGCGGCCCCGTGCGAGCAAAATAGCGGACGAACTTCAAGTCTGGGTCGACACACCACGTGATGAACATCGTGTGAGGTTCACGGTCCATGGTTCAGGCTGTGTCAGCAAGTCTTCAGCAGAGATCTTGGGGGTGATATTTTCTTCCTTGGAAGTATCCACCAGGGGTCGCAGGGGTGTTTAATGATACGTTCTCCGCAGTGGAGAGAGAATCTGGATGTTCGTGGTTTGCTGGAGAGAAAAATCCTTCCGAGCGGAGACCGACACCGTGCCCGCGTCCGGAGACCCCGTGGAGTGACAGAGTCTGCGGTGCGGTGACAATCTGTCGGTCTATTGGTACCGGTCTGGCGGTTTGTAAGCTTGTTCGTATCTGTAGTTCAAGTTCCGAGACGAACGGTGCGTCAGAGATCAGGCGGCCGGCGAAAACGCGGTCGTTTTACCAGTTTCCCATGGGGAAGAACAAAGAGGAGTCCTGGAGAGAAGCACGAGGGGAGCGGGCTGGGGAAAAAGAATCGAGACCAAGCCCAAACTCGGCCGGAAGCCGAGGCGATGAAGCACTGAAGCAGGCAAGGCAAGGCGACGCGCCAGTGTTGACAGGCCGCTGTCGTGATTTCGGGCATGGTTGAATGGGGCCGTCATCAAAGACGGGCCGATATCACGGCCGTGACAGGTAAAAGTAAGCACCTGGGTACGGAGGCCGACCAGGGATGGCTCGGAAGGCACCCACTGGCGAACAGGCGCCGGGGGGGAGGGAGCCCAAATCTGGAGCGCCGGGGAGCAAAACTTGTTGGTCATTCGGACTTTGGGCCCTCTTAACAGCAACGTGCGCTGACTCGGGTGGGGTGGTGGTACGACGTGACTCTTTCGATTATAGGCGGTGTCTTCGTACGGCTGTTTCGTACGGCTCATTGAATGATGGGCGCGGAGCCCCGAAAGCACCCGCGGAATCAGACGAGCAAGCGCACGATCTAGCGGAAGCAATGTCGTGATTGGGTACCGGCTTCGTGAAGCTGGAGATATGGGGTTGCTTGGAGACCCCGATATCTCCAGGCGGAGAGAAAGAGAGACAGACGGCGTCTGAAGGTGCATGTGAGGCGATCCACAACGGACAGGAACTCGGCCAAATTGGACACCAAGACGAAGTGTCTGCCATAGTAGACTCCGAATAGAGGGATCTGTAGGTCGTTAGCGCATCGAGTACCACCGAGCATTGTCCCATTTTGGGCCGGGGCCGGGGGATTGGAGGTGAGATGATGGGGAAGCTTGGGGGAAGAAAAAAAAAAAGTTGGATGAGATGGGGAGAAGTTGGGGGAGGGCGTGAAAGTGCGGGATGAAGATGGGATGGATTGCACGGGGTTGCATCCATCTCATGCAGTCCGGATAGTGAGATGCAGCGGCTAGCAAAGCTACTGTGGTTGTAAGTTTTTGGCGAGGTCGAATGGCCCGAATAGCTTCAAATAACCGTCTAAGCGAGTTTGATTGTAGGTGTTGAAGACTGAAGATGGGCTAGTCGAGCCAAGAACAGTCAAGCGAGCTTCACAAAAAAGCGTCGAGAGCTCCGGCGTAAGGCATTGAAGCCTGTGGTATCCACGGATAGGGAGAGACGTGTTGGAGGGCTGCAGGAGAGCATGCGGGAGAGCCCTTGGGGATCCAACGTTGCGGCTTGGACTAGGGTGGCCCTTAGGATCGGAATCCATACTTGTTCGTACAGCGAGCGTACTGGTCGACATGTGCCCATCTCATCACGAACGAATGACCTGGCGGATGTCGGCGGCTGAAGAGACATGGCGCTGAACCAGATGGTCCGTTAAACGACGGCAGTGGAGATGTTTGGCCAGGGAGCGGCAAG